TCTATATTTCGATGATACGCATTCTTGGCGTGTATAGCGGGCGGTGCGATGTAGCTAATACCTTTAACCGTATCAAGAGCCACCTATACTCAACTTAAGCAAAAGAGGCACTGGTGGATCAAAGGATCTTAGGGTAAGCGTTTCGAGTAACCATATTGAGAGTGTACATATTTGCACCTAGTTGTCATCTGCTTTGTGCAATGGGCCTAGGGTCCTATTTGCGATCAGGAGAAGGTCGATTGTGGCTGCTTTTTCACACATGCTTGACACGGTGTTAGCCCGCCCAGCGTTTTATACTCGAAGTAGCAAACACTGAACGCCATGTCCGGTTGAGCGATAAAGCGTGCGTAGACAAAATCTGTGTTATTAGTCCAGCTTAGGAGTTGCTAGAGAACGATGCGACGCGTCTATAAAAATTTGGGTCACGTACCGCTGCTTTGTGTACCGAATACACGTGTTTGTATCTCAGTTCCTGTGTATCTTTGTCCGTCTAGAATTGTCGCGTCATCGAATTGAATGTTGTTCAGGGCAGATCATTATTTCTATTTACCGCGTTGTCGCGTTTTATTGAGATAAAAAAAAAATGAGCCGATTTTGATTTGCCGTTAGCATTGTGACCGTGATTTTCTTTCGGGCTTTTTATTTATTCCAACGTGCTCCTGAGACATTCGAATGTCTGTCAAAGTAGACTTGGTCCAACTCCAAATCTGTCCATCGCGTCGCTAACAACCCAATGAAAATTTCCTTTAAGCAGGCATTGTAAAGCAACAAAAAAACGGTAACTTCTATTATAATATTTGTGACAATGCCGATATGGTCCATGGTTTGGCCATTACGTGGCGCAAGCTTTTGAACGTCGACGTTCGCACCCTTTTTAAGCTCACCGGTCGACGAGTCACTGTTTTTTCCCTAACTATGTTAACTAATTTTCAATTTTCGAATGCAATCGCCCAAAGACGAATAGGCAGCCTGGCATAATTGCGGAGCATGAACTGGCAAAAAAGAAATTGCGTCATCGCCAGTCTTTGCGTGTATGTGTACGTATGCCCGAGTTCTTACTAACTGAAAGCTTCAGCAACAGTCTTCTCTATAGCGCTGGATGTGGCACCAAGTATAACTAAAAGTCACGACTTGTCGGTCCGCCGAGTAATGCCATAAAACTATGATTTTACCTACTAATGTCTTGATCCGAAACAGATGCCACTAATGGAACTAACGTCAATTCAGTGTACCTAGATGATTGTGAGTCGGGTGCGTTTGTGAAAAACGGGAATTACAATAGAAAGCGGAGCCATTGAAAATAGCCTTACTTGAAATTTTCGCTTTAAAGAATAGGATTAGATGTAGATGTATCTCAAGCTTGATGTTTTGTTTTTCCTTAAAAATGAAGTACAGATTATTAGCGAGGCGCAATATATATACCGACTCGTTAGAGCTCTTTTTTTTGTGATCCGTTGTATCACACACCGTGATACACATGTGTCATTGACTGATTCGGACTCTGATTCAGTCTTGGACAGAGTGAGCTGCATGTTTGCCATACGAAAGTAGCCATTGGACCAAGCGAATTGTAACTCTTTGTGTCATGCTCACGGCAGCCGTCTCTGAGACTGCAACAGACCTCGTTTAAATTCTGCGGAATAGTTGCAATTAAGATTTAACCAGCTCCGTATAGAAACACTCGAAGCCGTTGCGTGGCATATTTAGGCCTAACGTTCGGTCTGAGTCAATGCAACTTCACGTTGCAGGTTCGATTCAGGCATTCTCTATAGTTCGGCCCATTTCAAAACTTTGCACTCTTTAGCCGCTTCTGTGGAAACTATTGGAACAAACTGCTGGTCGTTCCAGCAACTTATGCTGATCGTATGTTTCGTTCGGGTGGCAAGGTGTGTTTGTAACCAGGTGTCGCTGTAAGCATACAGGGCGGCCAGCAGTCTTTTTCTTATCGCAAATCTAGCGAAGTCCACCCAGCTCAAATAGCTTATAAGCGAGAGGTCAAAACAAGAGTGGATCAGGACTGTGAGAGTACAACGAGGCCTTCGAGACACATACGTGCATACGCATGCATAATGCCTTCAATGGGGCCAGTCAGCAGCGGTGCTATTGTGGTACGCCACTCTCCTTCGATTTGACACGCATTTGCCACTTCAGGGCGTATAGCCTCCTCGACAGCTGCGACAGAGAAAACGAGAGAAAGAGACAAGAAGAGAAAGCTGTGAGCTGGGTCTATTTGCATATGATTGCGCTGAACGACCAACACTGCCGCTAAGCCCAATGAGTCTATAAGGCAAAGTTTACTCGAGCATAGAACGCCATAGCGTGGGGTTCTCACGGAGTTTACAAATAGTTTCAACCCTTCAAATTTCCCTAAACCTAGCGATGATCCCCTGGCCGCTGCCGACACCTTTCCAACTGTGTGTTTCCATACTGCTATAGAACTATCAGATCGAGACAGCGGCCGCACTACTCGGGGATGAAAGTTTAGAATTGATCGGTACCGAGCGTTGCCGACAGATCCGAATAGATGCTCGATATGATGGATAACACTGCCGATCGATGTATATGCGTCCATTCATTTTTCGGTGGCACTATTTCGAAAAATGCAATCGTTCCAGCGGTGAATCGGTGCGTCTGCAGATGCGCGCAGAACGCCACGCACTATATGAATGCGTGCAATAGGCTACAGACTGATTATTTTCGAAATTGAGACCTGCACGTGACAACTGACCTGAACTCCTTCAGTGGATCGTATTGCCGGCTTTCAAAATTTAGATATAGCTAGCGCCGGCCTTAATATTATTTGAACGCCATCTTAGTTAGTTTTTATCTAACGATTAGATGCCTTCCTCACTAAAGCTCAGCTCAAGGTTCCTTATCTGAGCCTGGGTTACAAAAAAAAAGGGAACGCATATGGTGCACATCGATGCGCTGCACCTGATACTACTTGAATTAAATAATTATAAATCGATAGAGTACTATTTGCCAGTGGCACAGTGGTAAACAGTTGCCAGCGGTTCGCTGACGTGCTAAGCTATCCGAATTTTGCATAATAAAATTCCAGAAACCATCATAACATTTCATCCTATTTTTAGAGTAAGCTTTTTGAAAAATTGTATCACTGATCTAAGGGGTACCCAAAACCGGGTACATCCATAGGACCTAGCCTTCTAAAGATAAAAAATGTTCTTGAATGTAAACTTCTTACCAGAAGACACGTATTTATTTTCAAATTATTATATTATCACTCTTTTTATTTTATCCATCTAATTATGTAACAAATGACCCGACGGTTCATTTTTTGCATGCCTCTCTCTGTACAACCGCATGTTTACATACACGATCTATATGATTATTTATCGAAAGGTGTTCTGCATACAATGACAATATCAATAACAGTCACCATCGTCATCGTATTTTAATAGCCAAAAAACGCTCAACGTTCAGTTCGATACATGTGAGCAGGACTGGAACGCTTTCATCTTTATGCTTCCATATTTTTTTCTTCTGAAGAAAAAATTGAGAGGGAAATAGCAAAATTATCCGATGTCTACTATACACTACTTCTTGTTAATTATAGATGCAAAATATCTTGCGATTTTTTGCCGGTTAAGTTTTTCAGAAACAGCGTGTCGTCATCATCAGCACATATAGTAACATATATACGTTTTATTATTCATGTAAACACTATACTGCCTTATCTGAGCTTCACGCACCTCTCAATTGCACTAATTTTCAATTATTTTCTCCGGCTGCACTATGGACGGACATTGTTCTCTAAAATATCTCGAGCCGTCAATGATCTTCATTGTACAACAGAGTGATATCTAAGAGACAAGTGGTTAGAAGATAAATTATTCTACAGAATTGTCTACAGTGCTATAGAGTAATAGCAGATAGAAAACATCTATTTGTTTTCAGCCGTAGAGTTTGTTTTAGCTAGCTCCAAGATGGCTGACCTCACAACCTATTTTTTCACTGACAAACTTATGTCAATTTCTAATACGATTGAGCTTCTTTCAGCGCATCTGTGTGCACAATACACGGCCTGTACAGACCCATCGAGGGCAGAATTCAGATATGGTTCCTTCACTTGGGCTGAAAGAGTCTAATGACATGACGTATCAGACAAATATTGCTACAGGACAATACTGATGTTGCTGGGAAATTCTTTCAAGGAGTGACATCGGCCAATAGACAAACACTTTTCGAAGTTCCAGCCGAAAGGTCACGCGTTGGCAAGTTCGTCGGCTGATCCGCACTAATAGCACGTGATTCTCTCCCGCCTATACGAGGTCCATCTGTGCGAGTTAATTATAAATAGATATGTTTAGATTCCCGCCATTTATTTAAGGGGGCAAATAGGCCATTGGTAAAATTGAATTGAAAAAAAGCTATGCCGTCAATAAATCGTGGAAAATTCATGCGATTGATACTATATTGACCGTAAAATGATTCTTTTTACAACATCAACATATAGAAACCAATTAATGTCAACTGTGACATAGTGGGAATTTCCAAACTTCACATTGTGCAACTTTGGTTAGAGGTTATAACTTACAGTTATGATCTCCTCTTATATAGCAAGAGGATTCATTTGGAAGCTTGCTATCTTCGAAAAGGTCCGTATCACCGAGAAAAATTACATTTATAGATTTC